CGAGGGGCTCAATTTCTTAAACCAGTGAGTTCTTAAGCAGTGCTGTTGCTGTACATAGACACACACGCATAGATGTGTATGTGGATGTAGGTGTATATGATAAGTAAGTCAGCAGATTATATATATATATATATATAATATGTACGTATATGTATGTATGCATAAGTACGCATATACACATGTATGGTTGTAGTCATATGCATGTCTTCGGTAGCATTTACATATGTCTGCCTGCCTGCCTGCCTGCCTGCCTGCCTGCCTGCCTGCCTGCTCTGTCTCTCCATATATTGCATGCATGCGTGCATGTATGTGTGTATGCATGTACGTGTGTATGTGCGTGTGTGTGTGTGTGCGCGCTCAGTACATGGCATCCGATGTCGCGTTTGATAATGCAGAGTGTTATACTACCTGCATGTACACATACATACTACATGCACTGCATCAGTATCATATGATATATGGCATAGTAGCGTAGCAAATATGTTTCACGGCATTCTGAAGATGATGACAATAAGCCTTCACTTGCTGCATGGCGCTTTGCAGGCAGGGGAGGCAGAGACCACTTTCTTTGGCATACCGATGAAGGCGCCTTTGGCCTGAAATCGGTCATGAAGATGTTGAGCCACTCTCAGAAGCCCGCATCTGACGAGGCCAAGTACTACCCAATGGTTTTGGTTGGCCTCTTCACACTCCTGAGTGGCCCAGCAGTGCTGTGGCCCAGCAGCATTCAAGCAGCCACAGTGCCCGTGCGCATCAAGTTGAGACCAGTCCTAACGAATGGGCAGAGTGGCCCAAAGTCTAACGTCTAATGCAGAACTGCAGAACCCTTCACAGCTGCATTCTGATTCTTTGAAGGCCCGACGTCGCGGCACTGGCCATGGGGTACCTGCATAGCCGAGCTCACCTGGATACCATGCTCCCCTCCGATGGCAAGTTGCAGAGATGGGAGCCCTGATGGGGTTGCTGAAACGATGCTCTAGACAGTGCTATGAAGGAACCCTCAGGAATAGTATTACTAATTGTCGAGGCCCCTTTTTGATTCCTAACCCATACCCTACAGTCGAAGTCCTCAACGCTGTGAAGAGGGTTGAGGATGTAGGGGGGTAGCGGGCTGGGTTTAGGGGACATTTGAGGTTTGAGATCTTGTGGTTCAGGAAAAGTAATGCAATTAGAGTTCCCGAACAATTACCAGCCCACAGAGTCAGCAGCAGTGGATCTGCATCCGAAGCCCACAAGCGCATGGGCCGTCAAGCGCCAAGCACAGACCCAAACCCTAAAAGCATCGGTTCTCCGGCGAACTAGATGGCGAGGGGAACTAGGGGAACCGGCCCTGGAACTGCCGCATTCACCCCATTCACTCTTTTCACCCTGTGTAGGAGAACTCACGTTGGTCCTTCTTGCTTGGGCGGCGCCTGTTCGGGGGCCACTGGGTCCCGGTTGGCCAAGCTGGCACTGGAATCGCTGCGTTCCTGGGCGAAAAGCGGGGACCGGGCGGAAGGTCTGCAGGTGAGGCACATTCAAGCCAGCTCCCTAGACAAGGTGGGGTGGTGCGCAACTTCCACGCCACCATGTCATCCGCCCCAATGCTCCAGCTCGACCTGCACAAGGCCTTGGCTGACTGCAGCTGAGTAAGCACGCAAGCAGAAGGTCGATGACCAACAAAAAACCGAGCGTGCCGCAACTTGCCGGCCTGTGCAGGTACGGAGTTTCGAGCATTTCAAGGGTCCGGGCATCGACTGGGCTCCTGAAGAGAGACTTGAGCAGCAGCGGCTGTGACTGTGCAGTATCTCACTCCCACAGGCTCCGGCCCACTCTGAAGTTTGATTGCAGGGAGGATATGTCTTATCTTGCAGTTTGAAGATCCTTTCATTTTATGTCTCTCCGGAAGGCCTCACTGCCATTTGCATGCACCGAAGCCGCGGATAGAGCCGGATAGGACATCCTCACAGGATGCTGCCAGGTCGCGAAACCGTGGTACCCAAACCATATGCAATACGGGATCAAGCTCGTATATGCATTGAGCCTGTGTGGCAAAGCAGTACTAAAGAACCAACAGTGCCAGAGTTCCGCGGCCCCGCCCACAGTAGCCGCGGGCAACCCGTGCGTTCACAACTCAGCATCAGGCCTGAGACTTGCACCACAGCAGGTGCACAAAACAAGAATTTCTAAGTGTAGCCGCGATCCCAGCCGGCTGCTCCTGGCAATCCTGTACCTGCAGGCAATGACTTTCAGAATCGACCGACCGGGGGTTGCCCCAAAAGACTTGTGACCCATGGAGCAGCCACAAGGACATGGAAGCACCCGAGCGAAGTAGCTGGCGCTGCCAGCGGTGCAGATTAGCACTTCATACTCTTTAACAGACCGAGTACAGACGGACGAAAGTTTGTCTCTGCGAGCAGAGTTGACCGGCAGTGTGGCTCTCCCGTCGTAGCAAAGGCCCGGCCTTTCACCTTGGCCTTTGCTGTCGGAGGTTTCTCAAACAGCGAGCCACTCGCCACCGCGCAGTGCAGAGGAAGAGCTGACAAGTCACGTGGCCAGCGCTTTAATACGAGAGGGCTTCGGCTTCGTGGGTTCATTGCTTCCAGGCCGGGGTTTTAAGGGACGCTGAAAGCCGGAAATGCTTTACTTGTAGCATGTTGGGCGCGCCAGTGGCTGCACAACACGAACACAGTGGATAGCAGCCAAAGCCAAAGCGAGAAGAGGCTTGCGCAGCTCCCTTGCGGGTGCAGCTCCTGCCGGAGCCTTGGCTGTGCTAGGTTGAGCGACTCTGATTGATATGGATTTTCAGTGGCATTGACCGAATAGGTGGACTTGACAACGGGGACTGCTCGAAGTGACAAGCTCAGACGGTTGCATGAGCCGTGGCTCTTCTGGTCACTGGCACTCCCATTCTTCTCTTGCCCTTTGTTTTTCGCAGGCTCGACGTGTAGGCTCCGGCGGAAGGGCTGCGGCCACGAGGAATTTAAGTTTGTTCCCTTCGAGGCAGGGGGCATTTTGCCAGGTATTTTGTCGGTCTGCCAATGCTTTTTGCCAGGCTGCGCTCGAGGCGCGTGTGCTGCGGCCGCTGCAGCACATTGCGGAAATGGCAGCGAGGCGGAGTTCGCATTGGGGCCACGCCGGGGCGAGAGACGAAGACGAATGGAAGCCGGGGGGGTCGCTGCTAGGCCGATCCTCTGGCGGGTCCTACAAGACGAAAATGGATTGCCATCGGCTCACTTGAACTATTTGCCGACACTTTCGAGTACAGCGTCGATCGTGAACTTCAGGCTGCAGCATTTAGCTGCCATTCGACTGGTAGCATTCCTTGATCGTGAGCCTGCAGTGAGCATGCTCGTGAAACGGATTCCTCCTCAGTGGTCTCATCGAGACGTTGCAGTGAAGTAGTGCACCAGCCTGCGAGTGGACAAGGCTGTACCGGAAGCTACAAGGCTACCAGCGGGGCTTTGCAGGTCGACTCGGCCTTGCACTAAAAGAAGTGGACGGATCTATTGCTCACATGGTGGACTTCGCAAGGCGTGCCAGCAGAGGAGCTTTCTCTGCTTGCCGTCGAGCTTCGGGCTGCACTTGCCACAGCCTCAGCCGACAGGGAGGCATGAGAGCAAGGGCACTGAGATAGTTGGTGATGTCGAGAGTTGGGAAGGAGGTTGGGTTGATTGTTAGCTTTCGTCACGCAGCCTCACGCTTGGGGCAGTCCCCGAGCGTCCACCGGCAACGTCCATGGCTGCAGGTGGAGGGCTTGGAGTCCCTGGCTGGGTCGCATCCGCAGCAGATTCGAAGCGACCCCTTCGCTCCCAAAGGCAAGCTGCAGGCTCGGGTGAACATGCCAACATTGTGCACGTCGTAGCTGGCCGAGAAGACAAGACTGCAGGTGCGTGTGGTGGCACAGCTTTGCTTGCAGAACCTGTCAATGGACCTGTTGAAGGGGCCTGGCCTCAGCGACTTGGCTATCTGAAAAAGAAAACTCGGCTGCAGCTGCACGTGCCAAGCAGTAGGTGCCGATCCTTTCGCCTTGCTCGGCCAGCTAAAGCTGGACTACCAGTCGCCAGCGCCGCTGCCGGATATTCTGGACACCACTGCGCTGGAAGCTGGGATTGCAAGGCACTGCCAGGCCTAACCCTCTGATCCTTCTCTTTGGGGACATGAGTCCTCGAGCCTAGAGCCCTTCCTTTGCGAGCCGCCACCACAGCTCCGCGCGAGCAGAAGCCGAGGAGGGATACTCGGCCGTTTGGGCGCTTCTGCTTCGGCTCCGCTGTGGCAGCCAGGCGCTGCAGGAGGCCCCCCCCCCCCGTGCACACGGTTGCGAAGCCTCCGACGAACCACGCAGATGCTACAAAGAAGGAAGTCTGAAGCGTCTGAAGCGTGGGGCTTTTGTGTGTGTTGTTGTCGTTTTGCTTCTGGAGGTCCACCAGCTTCCTCTCTTCGGAGTCTCTGGCATGTTTCGAAGCGACAAGCTGATGCTTGGTGAGCACCCTGAAATGCTTGAGGGTGGCTCGATGGGCCTCTGAGAACGGTTGGTGAGCGTCGGCACCCGAAGTCCGAAGCTTGGCTCCGGCAGGCTTCGGCGGCCGCGGTGTTCAGCGCACGCCCCTTGCAGCCCTTCAGCGCAAGGCCGGCCTAGGTTTTTCTCAGCGCCTGTGGGGCCTTTAAGTCGAGTGCAAGTGCTCGCGCCTGTGGGAGCACCTTGTCGGAGGTGGACCTGCTCCGTGCAGAACTCGGGCCCTTCCCTCGGTGAACATTCGTCTTGCCTCTGCAGAAGTGGACTGCCTGGGTATACCCAGGCATTTCCTGTCCTGTGCGCAGCTGAGACGAACTCTTTGGGAAGAGTGGATCAACAATAATCTACGAGAGTTCGCTCTTCTTTCAGAGCAGAAGCAAAGCCATTGCAGCACGCCTAGTGGTAAAGATGATCAGCAGCCACTGCGGGCGATTACACCTTCTGCCATGGCATGCCAGGTCAATAGCGGAGTCACAAATGCGATAGGGCATTGCATTGAGCGGTGGCCTAGGTCTGGAGCACTATGTCCACGTTGATGTCCTGCAGAAGGCAGGACGATGCGAGACCTTGACATATCTACATATCTTGACTACGAATGCTTTGCAGGAGTCGATCATCCTGGAGCGTCAGATCCGATCTTTAGTGAGCGAGGCTCTCCGACTTGCCGAGAGCACATTTCCGTCGCTGCCTCCGCAGCCAGCAAAGGCGTTGGAGGGCCGGCTCGCCAGCGGAGCCAGAAGCGAGGACTCGACGTGGCTCGTAAAGCGCCTGAACACCTCTGTCCCAGAGCAGCACCAGTCACTTGTTGAGGTGGTCAGGCTAGTTGTAAGTGCCTTGTTTGACAGGAGCCTCCTCGCGCAGTGGACGTGCTTCAAAGAGTGCAGCAGATGCACCGGCAGCATCTCAGGCAAGTCTTGCAGGCTGGGCCACGAATAAGTTTGGCTGGACCGTTAGACATGTCAAGTCACAGCAGCCAGCGGAATTGTCGTGCGACACGTCCTGTTCGTTCCTTGAGACAGCGGAGGCCGCAATCCACGACTAAGCTAAAGGTTCTGAGTCAGTATGAGTTGCCGTGGTCTTTGCTTGGCAGGCTTGTCTGCTGATTCCCGACCTGAGCACAGTTCTTGAAGATCTGCATCAGCTGCTGGCCATGGGGGCCTGGCTCCCAAAATCTCTCTGAAGATCTTCGGTGTTCTGAGATCTCTCCGTGAGGTCCGCCTCAAGGATGTCCTCGAGCAAACGCTTGGAGCTCCAGCCCTCGTGTTGACTCGAAGCGCATGAGGATCAAGTTTGCTGCAGCTGGACTGGTGGTCACAGTGGTAGCACATCACGCTTGAATGCTGCAGCTGGTCTTGTTCTCCTTCTCTGGCTGCATCTGCATGGCGTCTTGCATGCCACAAGGCTTCAGCAGCTTCAGGCCCTTGAGTCGGCAAGGCAGTCGCTTTTCAAACATCCAGCAGGGCAGTAGATCAGAAGAGTGTCGAACAAATCTCCGCCCGAGCTGTCGGTTGTTCTCTCTGGGAGCAGGCGCCGTCCCGCAGAAGTGAGTGCCGTGGAGCAGGCGGGCTGCTGGGGTTGCCTAGACTTCTCGAGTGACGATCGGCTGTTCCCGTCTCCGAAGGCGCTGCACTCTTGTGAGCCCATGTTTTGAGATTGCCTTCGACAGCTGGTAGAGCTGTGTGTTTCAAGTTTCGGGCTCTTGCCCAAGGTATATTCAAAACGAGCGCCGTAGACATCGCCAACATGTTCGCGGGATTCTGGACATGGTAGTGTTTGCCATCGTTGCGGAGCAGGATCAAAAACGTCTGCATTTGAAGCAGCAATACGAGCACTGATGGGATCCTTGCACAAACGAGGTCAATGCTTGCAAACAGGCTGTCAAAGATGGCAAAACAATTGCAAGAGGTCCTTGAGCAATGTTGAGCAGATCCAAGAACAAAATGAACAACAAGACTGCAGCAGTGGAAAGCCACGCGAGCTAGAGTGGCTAGATGCTTGTGCGGTCCGGATGGCGCAGACATGGCGGCAGAGACATGCAGAGAAAGAGACGCACTAGCTTCCAAAAGCGCCGGTCGAATCGAATCCACACAGTCCGCACGCAGAAGAAGATTTACAGGAATGCAAGGCCGAGCCTCCAGCGATTCGGCGCACTGGGAGTGCGTCTGGGCGCGAGGCACAGACGTCCCACGTTTTCCACACACAGCACGCCAGAACACTGAAGGGCACCTCCAGTGCCATTTGAAAAACTTTCGAAGTTGTGAAGAAGCGTCCTTTTCGTGATGGCAGTGAGGTCTTCCGTCGCCTTTCGAAACACAAAAGCATCGCATGCTACCTGGAACGATGATGACCATTGGGCCAAGCAGCAAGACTGACCGGAGTCGTGCTGAAGATACAGATGTATTCCGAGTCCGAGTATATATATATATAATATAAATATAAATATATAAATATATATATATATATATATATATACGGGTGGTTGTCAAAATTATGGTCCCTTTTCGGGTCCTTGTGATAATACGGCACCTATTATTTAGGGTACCCCAAAAGGGACCATAATTTTGACAACTACCCATATATATATATATATATATTCATTTAATTGGGGTTTAGGGTTTAGGGTTTAACTGTTATTGTACAGGGGCTTAAATAATTACCTATACTATTTTGGGGCTTCCTTATCATAACTATAGTAGAATGTACCCCAAAACACTGTTCTAATTATTAAGGCCCCTCCTCCCCGTGGAACAAAGATGAAGAGAGTGCCCCGTTCGGTTGTTTTTCGGACCTTTGAGGACCATCGAGTGTGGCAGGATATTTCGTGAAAGGGTTGCAGGAGTCTCCAGGTGTTCGCGCGGTGCGTGAGGAGCATGGAAAGTAGTTTTTGGGCTGTGCGGCCTGCCTCTGGAGGCCCTGGATGCAGCGCAAGCTTCTGCTGCCGCTTCGCCAGTGTGTTCAAGTCGCGGAATATTGTTCTGTGGAGCTTGTGGAAGTTGTCATTAACATTAACCATGCATGAACTTCAGTAACACTGAACCAGGTGAACATCCTAGGAGCTTATCTTGGTGGTTCACAACGCCGAAACACGTGGGCAGGGGGCGACCCCGCATGTGTGCAGCTTGCTCATTGACGTTGTCTGACTTCTGCATGTGAAGAAACTTTATGCTTTTTATGCAGGTTTTGTGTGCCGGCCTGGCACGACGTGATCAAGCACCGTAGCGAGTGCATCTGTTATCTACGCATGCACGACATTTGCGCATCCGCTTTTATGCAGCCGAGTGTGCGGACTTGCAAGTTTCAAGCACTATGGAAGTTGCCAAGCAAAGCAAGAGCTCTATCAAATTTGTCCGGATTGTTTCCCCTGGCTTTCCTGGCCCTCTTCTCCAGTTGTCAAGCATGGTAGAAAAATCGGGGTAAACACAGTGCGAAGCCTTCGTGTGTTGTTCTGGTGCCCGCTTGCTGCCGAGGACCTTGCGGCTTCAGAGGGTTTGGAGCCCGATGGTCAAGTTGCCGCCGGATGCTTGATGATAGTGCCGCACGATGCAGAATTTTGTGTCCGCATCGAGTGCATCAAAGGCCGCAGCCAGTGCAGCTGCCGATGCTGCAGCCGCGCTGAACGTGCCGATTGGAGCTCAACTCTCCATTGCCGCGGTGGCAGCTGCCAAGATTGCCATCGACCTGGCGATCTCCCAGGATGATGCTGCTGATGCAGCGGCCTCGTGCACAGAGAGCATCACTCAATCTATGGGGCAAGATGCGGACACGAGGGCGCAAGCAGCAGACACTACAGCCATTATCACTGGGTATTTGGTAGCATCGCATGCTGGCGAGGGCCCGATCGCAGCGGGACTGGAAGCAGGCAAAGCCATGAGAGCAGCAGGCAGTACTCCGCAAGAGCAGCTGTCGGCAGCTGCAGATGCAGCCCTGCACGCCGCTTCCGCGGCCAATCTGCCCAAGGAACTGCAGCTGGTGGCTGCAACCGCTGCCATAGGTCGCACCGCGGCAGTGGGTCGCATCCGAACCTCCAAAGACGAGTTTCGGAAGCTTATCTTGCACCTTGCAGCGCAGTTGGCTGTTGCACTACCAAGCTACGGAGTGGACGAGGCGCGCCTAAAGCAGTCGAGGTTTGCTGTTTGTGAAAATTGCGATGGTTCAGGCAGGCAATGACTTTCGCAAGCAGTCGAATCATGACGGTCTGCCGGCTTCTTGTCTGTAGAGGTAGGCGGCAGTTGCCATCCTGGCAGGCGACGCTTGCGACGACAGCGGAGGCTGCAGCTGTGCAGGCCAGTACCAGTTAGCGTAAATCACCGTAGCTGCAGCTGTAGCTCGGAGAGGTTCCTGGTGCTTTCGACTATTCCCAGAAACTCGTTGGTGTGGATGAAGCACGGTCAATCCGGTAGCTTCCAGCCGCAGGATCTCAGCGACAGCATCCAGCCGGAAATTGAGAATGAAGAGAGTCAGGACGATCCTGGGTGAGTTAAGAACTCGACAGTTGCGCAGCATAGACGTCGCGGAGGGTCAGAGCCTTCCGATCCTGATGCCCCGAAAACCGCAGCCATCGGTCCAGCAAGCCGTGGCAGCCTTGGCCCAAGGAGATGCTGATAAGCGAGATGCAGAACGACCTGGAACTGCGGAAAGCCTTGGATGTTACTTGATTGCATAAGATCCTCACACTCGTCCCGGTAGCAGGTTCCTGAACTATGAAACAACTTCGGTGCCGTTCTGTTGCTTTGTTTCCGGCCTTGGCATCAGCATGGCTTTTGCAGGCTTCGGATCAGCAGGCAGCTGCCTCGGTGCTCAACGCAGATCTCTGCCTGTCGTGCGGTCTCAGCAAACAGCGGTACAGAAACTACAAGTTCAGACTAGAAGTGCAACGCATCGATTTGTCCGTCAAGGTAGCTGCGATCCGGAGTGACTTCCAGCGCGGCATGCGTCACGCTGTCCTGTGTCATTACCTGTAGCATGGATCAGGGACCAGCTCTGGCGCTGTGAGATTCGTATCAGCATCGGCACATACGGCCCCAGCTTTGGGTCTGCCAGGTTCGCTTCTGACGGTTCTCCGCAACTCCGTGGCGCTGGGAACTCCACAGGCGAGACGAGACTAGGACGAAACCGTGCCGGAAGGATGTCCGCGATCGCACCGCGACTGAGACAGAAGCGGTAGTGCATTGACCATTCCCAGACAGGAGTGGCATAATCCTAGCCAGTGCGGCTGTCCATGATGGCGGCCACCTTGTCTTGCAGACTTAAGGTTCCTGAGCCTTTCATGGACGGACTACTGATGTGTTCAGACCATCTCAAACATGAACAGCACCAAGCAGAACTTGAAGCCGCTTACTTGTACCAGCTTCCAGATACTTCTGTGTTTCATCCGCCATGGCGACGGTAATCGTCGGTGGAGGAATCGTTGGGGTCACTGCTGCACACTACTTACTGAAGAAGGGCAGGAAGGCGCGGCCGTCTGTCCTGATCACATCAAGGTCCGTCAACAGAGCTGAAATCTCTTGAGGTGACCCTTATCGAAAAGTGTGCCATCGCATGCCACTCCTCTGGCAAAGCTGGTGGTTTCCTGACGGACGGAGATTCAGGTGGGGAAGCTCCAACTTGGAGCAGCGGAGTGAAGGTCGAAAGTAGGAGAAGGTAAGCAACCTCGGAGCCGAAAGACGGGCGCAGTCTGAATGGCTAGCAGAGAACGAACGGGCCGGACATGGCCGGACTCTTCGAAAGGATGTCGGTGCACAAACTCCTGGACAGGATGGCACAGTGGCTCCATCGCTCACTTGGCCAAGCGTTCCTTCGCACTGCACGAGGCCTCCAATGCTGCTGTCAGGTCCAATAGCTCGTTGAATCCTTTTGAACTGAAGGTTCCGAGGCTACTCATAATTCATTTACTTCGAATTGCTGTGCACAAATGCGAGTTTAACCTTTGGACTCTCGCACATGTGGTTGATGGCAGGAAGTCTTCGAGTGCTGGTGTGTTGTTTGCTGGCTCATCCGCCTGGATAGGTTCATACCTGCATGACCGTTGAGCGCCGTGGCGTGTGCCTAAAACAGTCAGAGTGCCGAGAGCCAGCAGGACTTGGCCAAGGAGTTCGGGGCCGACGCGATCGGTCACAGACGCGTAAAGTGTCTGGGCCAAGGACCTCGCGTCGCCTGCAGTAGGCAGTAGGCAGCTGCCATGAGCAAAATGCCGGAGTCTCTCCTCCTGTCAGGACGAGATGGCAGCACCGCGCAGCCGGCCTGGCTCGCTTCGGGCCAGTACCAGAAAGCTCTGGGCTCAGTTTTTCTCCTTCTTGCAGACCGAGGGCTACCAAGGCTTCCATGCTTCGTGGCTGGTAAGGACATGGGCAACGAGACCGGACTGGCACAGGTTACACCATACAAGCTGATGGATGCACTCAAGGACTCCATCGTGAAGCGAGGCACGGGTAGTCTCACAGCAACACGCTGGCTAGAAATTAGGTCGATTTTGGCTGAGTTCGTCGCTGGACTGGGTCGTTTCTGAGCATGCTTCATTGCGCCGCTTGCATGACTCGGTGCTTGCTGCTTGAAGCTACATCATCAAATGACGCCGGACCTGTATCGAGCATTCTCTTGTGGTGTAGCAGAAGCATCCTTAACCCTCACGAGATCGAAACCGAATGTGGCGATGCATTTGTTGAAGAGTGTTGGTAGCTGACAGTTGGAACTGGCCCCAGGTTGCGAGATCATCATCGGCAAGGCCACTGGTGTGGAGATGGCAGGCCGCGATGCGATGTCGTGTCGCCAGAGCATGGGTGAAGTTGCCCCTCTGCTTGCATCCGCACGTGTGTGGAAGGATCTACCGTGACGGCCTTGAAAGTGAGCCAGGACCGCAAAGGATATGCAGGTGAGTTTGCTGTTTCGGGCGGATGGTGGGCAGAGATGTTGCACACTGGGGCTGGGCCCAAGTTCTCTGCCAGGACGGCAAGGAGTCTTCACTTCCATGCACATCCTTGATCCTCGGGATGGGCGCATGGGCGAGCGAAGCGGCCGAGTGGTTCCCTGGGAGCACGCTGCCTCGGCGCACCGTCTCGAACCGCTACACCAGCGTGATTTGGGATGATGTTGAGGTTGGCAAGGATGCTACAATGGTGTTCACCATGGGCGAAGACCACACGGAGATCTATCCTCGAGCAAATGAGTGCTATGCTAATGGCTGCCCAACGGATCCCCCTTTGCCAGATAACCCCATGGAGATCGAGCCTCCTCAGGACGAGATCGACAGGGTCAAGGTGCAGCCGTTGAAAGGAGATGCAAGGGGCTCATAATCATAAAGAGCCCTAATGAAATACGCCCAAGCCTGGTATCCCATTGCTTCAAGACTCCGCAGGCCGAGAGCGTCGCTGCCGTTCCGCGGCTCAAGGATGCAACGGTCATTCGCAGCACGGCCTGCTTCCTCGCAGGCTCCGAGGACCACCGACCGGTGGTTGGCCGCATCCCGAAGACCGAGAATGCTTCCTGGCCAGAGTCGACAGTTGGTCACACACCATAGCTCTTGGATCCAAGGCTGTCATAGCATGTGGTGGAGGCTGCTGGGGTATTCTGAGCCTTGGGTTGGTTTCAGTCCGCCTGTGTCAAAGAGATCCAAACGGCTGTTTCAGTAGGGGCTTTTCGCTCATGCGGTACTTAGCGCAGTTAGTACTGCGGCTGCTTTTATGCACCAAGCTTGTACCTGACAACGTCTGATTGCAGTCGCCGTGCAAGGGATCATTTCAAAAGTGGCGCCCCTTTCCAGGAATGGCCCGGCGATGGGCGAGGCTGCAGCAGCCCTGGCAGCAGGGGAGGTGGGCCGGCAGCAGATGGCACTGGGCTTGCTTCGAGCACTGCGAACATTTTCTGAGATCGGAGGAGCCCCCACTGGACATCTCTGCGTTCGATCCTCTGCGCTTTGACCGGTCCCACCTGTCGGCTTTCATCAAGGGCTTGCCCCCGAAACTCACGGTGCTTTGGCCGGCAACGAGGAGGCCTTCATAGAGTTATGTAGGACGAGTTCCGGAAGTTTGTTCGTCGGCACCGATGAGAGCAGAAACTAGGATTCGCTAAACCGTCGGAGAATGTCGGAGACAGAGACTGTGCAGTTTCTCCTTCTAGGCTTGCTGCCTCAGCTGACGGCTGCTGGGAGAACAGATTACCTCATGTCCCATGTGCCCTGCCTGTGGTCGCGTGGTGATAAGGTTCCAGGCCTAAGCTCCACAAGCCCTCGCCTCCTGGGAGCTTTTCGACTGGTGCTATCAAGAGCTTAGGCTTTGGTGGCTCAGCACCCGGAGCTCGCGGATCTTAGGCTTGCGATAAGCTCGAGGGGCACGCCGAGGGACAGCCTGTGACTGTGTTGTCGTGTCATGTCGTGTCAGATTTCAGAGAAACCCAGAAAGCAGATCAGGGCCGGATTTCGACATACAACTTCATGATAACTGCCTTTGATGGTTTTCCTGATGGCGTCTGCAGAAGTGCGGACGCTGTCCTGACTCGCTCGTTCGGCCTGGGACCACGGTCGTGGAAAACCGTGCCGTCTAGCCAAGGAAGCTTTGCGACAAGATCCGGAGAAGATTGCGGCTCTCGTCGCCATGATGGAGGACTGAACGCTTTCAAGCAGTGCAAGGTCGGTCGGTCTTCTCGGCACGCAAACCCGCAATGAACAACACGCCTTCCTCTTCCCGAGCCGATGAGAGTATGCAGTCTGAATCCACGGAGCAAGTGTGCCGTGCTTGTATACCGGTGGAAGGTATTCACTTCCTAGCAGACTGGGATAGACTGGGTCTCACCAGAAATGTCCCACGAGCGGTGCCCAATCTGTTGGCACATTGAAACTTCCACGTTGTGGAAAGCTGTGGGTCGTGCCAGTAGAGGCTCTAGTGCTGTCCAGCAACAAGCCTGGACAGCGCCAACGAGCACTGGCTCCAGCGATAATCGCCTCTATGTCGAAAAACATGCGTGTGAGTCACATCAGACACAGATCGGCCGTGGCCGCCAATGCCTTCGCCAGGTGATGAGCTTATGTGCGCATCTGAACTTCAGCGGCTTCTATGGCGATCAGTTCTGAGCCAACCGCTGACACAGCACCCGCTCGCCTTGCACAGTGCCGAAAGCTGGTTTGCCATCCTGCATCCTACCAAGCGTTGAGTGTGAGACAGTGTAAGCACATCACATCTGAAAGCATGTGCTCACCCGCAGCGTCTGGGAAGAGTGGACAGTGCCAGAGATGTGAGAAGTGCAGAGCGCTGCGGCCTGGAGGCAGGGTCTTGGGTTTTTCAGTTTCTCGCTTGACTGTGGATGGGTGCGAGGAGCATGGGGTAGCGCCCGCAAGAATGTGAGTTTGTCTCTGTCTGCGTCTTTGTATCTCTGTTCTCTCACTCTCTCTTCTTCTCTCTATCTCTCTCTCGCGCTCTCTCTCGCGCTCTGTATGTCTGTCCCTGTATTCTGCCTTGCTGTGGTGAGGCCATCTCAGGCCATGGCCCAAAAGGGCGATTCGCTGTGCCCCCAGCACCTGCGACATCCTGCGGCTACGCTTCCATGGAGTCGCGCATGTGTCGCGTTGCGCATGGGCCGAGGCATCACTTTGGCCCACGAGGGCACTTGGGCGCGGTTCAGGATACCACGGTGCGCCCGATCTCCGTGACCCAGACATGTGTAGGCACAGGAGAGAGTGCGGCTGCTCCCGCTTGCAGGCCACCCTGGTGTCGGGCCTCTACCATGACTGTTCAGAAGGAGATGGAGTCACCCTGATGAGGTCGCTCGCTGAATGATGTGGCAGCAGACGACTTCACGCCTGACTCAATCTTGGTCTTCACATGTGCCAAGTTTCTGTCATCTTCTGGCCCACCAACGCCTCCTCTCGTTGGACTTCGATCACAAGTCGATGCTCGAGGCACAAGTTGATAGCATCCGTAAGTTCGCATGTTTCGAGCTGGGGTTGAGGTCATCTGATGCTTGCATGATCGCAACAGGGACTGACTCATATCCAGCCTCAATGAAAACGTATGAAGACTCCATTGTGCAGGTAGATTCGTCCGGCCGCCCTCCCCACCTCCGCTCCGCTGCCCCCCCTTTCTCGACAAGCTGATGAATTTCTGTGCAGATGCTGCGCAAGTGACATGTTGAAGTTGCTAGGGCGCTACAGGGCGGCCTCCCGCCAACCTCAACTACCGAAACTAGCCTTATTGCGATCGCTTTTGCTACTGCGGTCGTGCGGTTACCACCGCTGCTACAGCTGCTACTACTCGTGGTGTTTCCACCGCTGTTGGCCCCTGTGCTTTTTCACTACCGCTGCCAACTGCTGCTACCCCGGCTGCATTTTTCTCCCCGGCAAGTTGGAGCTTGAGTTACATGTTTCGAGCATCTATGACCTTATCGTAGAATGAGCTTTGTTTCGGACGACATCTCTGACGCCCCGAGACCACCTTGTCCGCCCTTCCCTTCCGCTGCCGCTCCAAGTGCTGCTGCCAATCCTACTGCTACTGGACTGTTCCTGTTGCTGCGACTACTCAGCTGCTATGCTGCTATTCGTTGCAGTCCTCGCTGGCAATGTGCTCTGGCAGTCCTTCAAGCAGCACACCGGTGGCCCACTCTATCCAGAGGAGCGCAGCGCATAAATCTCATCAGACCGCGGCAGCAGCCAAATGCCTGTAAGGAGCCTCTGGATAGCAGACTTCTGGACTCCAAGCAGTTTCGTCAAGCGCTGCAGGCAGCGAGCAGTTGGGAGTGCGGCTTGAGCTGAGGAAGGGAGGGACTGCTTTGCTGAGATTCGAGTTCGGATGGATAGTTATTGTTGAACATGTCGAACCTGAAAGTCCCCCGCAAGAGCTTGTGCAGGCAGAGGAGCAACTCTGAGCAGCAACTGTTTGGATCACCGTTGAATCCACACTCGTGTGTTTGATGGGAGCGTGTATATGACTTTAACTGAAGACGTTGCGGAATCACGAGCAAGATCAACGATTGCACGAATCATTGTCAACCCGAACCATGTTCACAGAGCGGTATGTCTTGTTGTCTGCACGTCCGGGCTTGAAGAACTTGCTTCCTTCCTGATGTCACTACGGTGCCAGATGTGGGCTGCGCGAAAGAACAAGCTTGTGCAGGCACTGGCCAACGAGCACTACGGGGCTCAATGGGGTCTGAAGAAGGCCCGGTCACAACTTACAACATGTGAGTTGGGAACGTTCGCCAGTCTTTCTGCCTCTTTGTGCGCTTGCGGGACAGCGCAGTACATCGGCTCAGTCACTACAATACCAAACCCACTTCACAACTCAAGAAGGCGAACATGCATGCTTGTGCATTGCTGGCGACCTCCAGTGTAACAGTATGATGCTGGAACACAAACACTGTCGCCAGGCAGGTGCGGACACCTTGGATCGGCAGACAACAGAGTCGGCAAAGCCCTCAGATGGTACCCAAACACATGGGACTGTTGCCATGAATTCACCCACCCACGCACTAGCAGTAGAAATAGCCTTAACTTAGTCATAGGAATTGTAGTAACCTCAATAATCAGTGACATAAGAACAACGAGGCCCCAGGGCGATCAAAGAATTAAGAGATTCCCAAATACTTTCGATATCCAACAATCGCCCCCCAAGCCCTCTCTGGGCCCCTCTCTTCTGTCCGAGCAAAGAATCCCCAACCGGCGCCCACGACTTCCAGTGATGTCAATCAGTGTTTGTGTTCCAGAAATCATGCCAGTTCCCCGCAAAGCGAAAAACAAGCACATGTCGTCCTCCTGCCTCCTGTGTCCTGCGTGGCAGTTGTAGTGGCAGTGTTACCGGTGGTGGTAGCAGTAGGTACCCCTCGTGTGCTCAATATTATATGGCTAGTTCTCTAAAATAGAACGGCACCTTTTGAAAAGGAGGCTAAAAGGGACCCGAATTTAGAGAACTACCCATATAATGTCTGTATGAAAAATTATATGTATACATATATATATATATACATACATATGTAAATATGTGTGTGATGTAGTCTAGTATATTATCAGGCGATGCAATGAAAACATAGTAAGATATAGTAAAAAATACAGTATACTGTCAGTTAATGAAATATGATATGATATGGTAGGATATACTACAATAAAACATAGCACAATATGATACAACATCATGTTACATTAAATACACACACTCACATATAGATATACATTTATATGTATATATATATACACATATATATACATATATATGTGTGTGTGTGTGTATGTATGTATGTACTTATGTATGTACCTAAGTGTATGCTATCCGGAGACATGATTGCATATGCAAAGACAAGACTGCGATAGGTACTGTATGTGAACACAGGCGAGTATTTACGAACTGTTACGCGAATAGAGACAGCTAGCTGACTACTTTACGTAAACATGTGCGTGCATGTGTATTACTGCTTTATGTTTGGACAGTTTTGTTGCAACTCGACCAGTGTGGGCAGTTTTTATGTTTCCCTGTTTTTTCTCCTAAACTAGACTCCATCACTGTTAGTGTTACTATGGACGTGAGTTTTGATTCTTCTGTTTGGGACCTTGGTCCCAGGAAAGCCGACGCCCAAGTGCAAGTGCTTCCGGTATGGAAAGGCGAGGCAGCAGGCCCTGGCGCCGGAATTCGGGTGTTAGCAATGACCTGTGCATACCGGGATGCTGTCCTGATGTCCTGATATCGGCATTCCGATGACTGTGCTTATTTGACGTTTGATCGGCGGGTGATGACTATGACTATGACTGCTTCTATTCCTGGGGTTGTAGATTCGGATGTCCTTTAGGACTGTTATTGAAACACGTACCTGGGACAGCAATTGCAATCTAGCAGTTCAGCAGCAGCAACTGCTGATCGTCTTTTGGCTTAACTTGGCGAGGGCAGGCCAACAGCAAGAACGGTAGTTGGTCGACTTCTGGCAGCAGACGTTCCAGAGCAGGCTTTTCGCAGCTGAGAGCACCAACAAGATCTCCGCGCTGCAGGACGTTTCAATTCAGCTGTGTCCGCTCAGCTCAGAAGTCTCAGAAAGCTCCGAATCAGGGTGCATGCTGGCAGACTGCCCATTACTGCATCGATGATGTAATTTGATTAGAAGCCCCAGACAGCTGTTTTTCAGCTTGTGTTATGGCCTGCCCTGTGTAAACGGCCGACCGTCGCCTGCGATCTTGTCAGGACCTACTGCGAGATGTCAGCTTACGCAACAGTGAGATCCCTTTCAACATCAAGACGGCACACGTCTCATGGGATTTCCTTAGGGGTACTTAGAAATAATTTTTAATCTTTGGCTACTATAAACCCTAATTTTTGCTAGGGGTCTAAGTTCAGTATAGTTTCTGCAAGTAAGACTAAAGAGTCCGACATGTCCGACAAGCCAGTCACCGGACAAGGTGCTTACCGTTGCGCAGGCCATTGTGAGCAGGTCCATGGGTTCTTCAGATGTGTTTCAGCTAGCATGTCGGTTCAAGGCACCCGGTACTCACGGACATTCGTGGAACGACGGTATGGGCCAGCGTTCACTGCTGGCTTGTGCTGTTCTGATGGTGTTTGGTTTAATCTATTCTGTGAACAGAGCTGTGCCAGAAGCTCGTGCGCCTTCAAGTCCTGATTTTTCTGGTTCGGAGCCGTTCTCAGAAGAGCGGAAGGTTCACGTGACCGAGCCCTGGAATTCGACAGCACGCAGCACTCTTCTCGTGTCATCGGGGGCGATTGCCGGCAGCCCATTCAAGGTAGAGGATAGCGAGCTGCGCCAGGAAATGTTTCTGCCGGTGTTCCTGGAAGCGGACGTGCTGCACCGGAATACTTATCCTTTCAGACACATGCCTACTTTCGAAGGCAATTGGACGGTAACAGATCCTGCGCACGCCGTTTTCTACGTCGTGTGCTGTGGTCCGATCGACCGCATGCTGCGTCTCCCACCACGGACACCCGAGCGACCTTACTTGTGCTACGACTGCGACGCGGCACTCACCATCGGGAGGCTGCGCTTGACAGAGGTGATAGGGCAGGTAGGCATCAGCGTGCAGTTCCGTGATGTCCTAGCAGGCGCGGGTTACAAGTAGTCGCGCAGTGGAGTTGTGTTGCTTTTTGTTAGAGCAGACGAAGCTTCTGCAGGTTGGAAGGCGGCTGCTGGCAGAACTGTGCTGATATTTGGGCCTTGCTGTCCCGACGGGACTTCATGTTTTCCTCGGCAGATCTGCGATTCTGGAACAATGCAAACGATTCGGCGCTGCTGCTACCTGGTGTGACCCATGCTCACCATCTTCCCTGGCCAGAGACACTGCGACAGTCCAGGGTGCCGCCGTCCAGTCCACCAAGGTATTTCCTGACATTTCAGGGGCTCTGGAATGTTGGCAAGGGTGGCACGTCTTTTGTTCGCTTGAACATGGCAGCTATGCTAAACAGCACCAATAAGCTGCCGAAAGCCATGAAAAGCTGTGCCGGCGAACCTCTGCCCCTGCCCTCAGTGAGTTATGAGCCTCCTTCGGATGTCTTCATATCCATCGCAGGCGAACAGTGGCATTTCAAGGAGAAACGACATTACTATTCACTTTTCGATTCTGCCTACAGCCTCGTCATGCACGGCCATGGCAGGTGGAGCTACCGGCTGATGGAATGCTTGAGCGGGAGAGCGATACCGGTAATTCTGGCCGAAGGTTGGTGTCTCCCGTATCAAGAGTTGATTGATTGGGAGCAGATCTCGGTCCAGCGACCAGAGGCCATGGGCCTGGATCCTCGTGCTTTGATCGAGGGCCTGACACGCGATCCTGAAAGGATCAATGCCACACGAAAGCGAGTCGCTGAGGTTTATGACAAGCACTTTGGAACATATCAGAGCCGCATCACTGCCCTGCTCCGTTCTGCTGCCCTTTGGAAGCAGGCCTGGCAGGAGAGAGAGAAGAGCACATTGCGCATGCTGGCGGATGTGTTTGTGAAGGAGCATCCGGACAAGGTGCTGAAGTACCTGTCAGCTGATAGAGCAGACGAAGCTAGAACGGCAAATGACACCGGCACTCGCTAGCAGCCGCATGGGGAATGATGGCCCAATCAACACCAGGAAGGATTCGAAGGCTACGATGCTTGTTCTCACATGTTCAAACGTCCCCATATCCATCGCAGGCAAACAGTGGCTCTGCAAGGAGAAACGAGAGAAGTATGCACTTTTTGATTTTGCGCCTCGTCATGCACGGCCATGGCAGGTGGAGCAATCCCGGTAATTATAGCCGAAGGATGGTATCTCCCGATTGGGAGCAGATCTCGGTCCCATGATCCTGGAAGGGTCAAACAGAGCGGCATGGACACTGCCAGAACGAACAGTCATACCTGCGTTGAAGCAGACTAGACTACCTGACTACCTGGCCTCGATACACAGAACTACGTGCTCTCCCCCGGAAACTCCACTGTTCACATTCTCAGAACTCGAACTGCTGTGATGTTCTGTAAGCATAATGAGCTCGGCAGAAGTCGTAGTTCGTTTCAGCAACCGGGGCTAGGGTAAGAGTTGGTGGGAGAGTTGATGAGGAGTGGGTGCACATTGCACTAGCAGTAGGAGCAGGAGGAACATGTTTCAAGAATGTAAACCACTTCTCAGACGTCAATGCTCGGGCTGGATCTTCTCAGGTCAGTCCTATGCGCACAGCTCTCTTCGAAGACGAGGCGGATGCCAGCGATGATCTCCTCCCATCCGGTCACATGCCAAGCTCAGCTGTGTTCTAAGGTACTACAATTTCCATCCATCAAGTTTGCACTCTCACGCGAGCACGGAGAGAAGCGCGAAAGCAAACCCGTGCCGGGCATCGAATCTAGCATGCTCACCACAAACAATCGCTCGTCACCCTCTAGGCACTGCGTGACACACCCTGCTGATGAAGACGAACATAAGGACCTGAATCGGGACAGGTTGCAGGACAAGCTCCAACCACGCCTCCTCCAGAGATGCTATCGCAAAATCTTCTAAAAGTCTGCGGATGCGATCGGACACCAGATGCCTTTTGAATCTGTGGCCATCTTTTTTATTGAGGCACCAGATCACGACTTTGCCTTTTCGGACAACTGGCATGACAGCAAGCCTTATGGACCAGTCCTTGTGTGGCGTCGTGTGCCTAGGTCCTACGTGGGTGTTTGCAAGCAAAGTTGTCACCGAAACGAACAAAAATGAAGCTCGTGCGCAATCAGCAGTTTTACAGCAGCAGCCCAGCTTGCATGGCAAGGATCGTGTCAGATGACTCCTCATTACTCAATGCAGTCTGCTTGCACAAGGGTAACCATCGTAAGCAGTTTCACATTCATGCACAGCATGTCACACCATTTCAAACAGGAGTCGGAAAACAAGGATGCCTTGGCTGCGCGTGAATGTTTGCCGCAGGTCATCCAGGCTGCCTACCAGTACGAACATGCTTTCCGCAGGCTTTTCCTGCACTACGTTCCGATCTGAAACATTGGAGACACTGTCCCAGATTGTTTGCACTGGCACGGGCCACACAGACCCACCCAGGCCACAAGCGACCGCAGCCCTTCCGGAGGGGTGACGCTGACTCTGGAGGCGTGCGCGGGATATCGTGATGATGCCGACCTCATGTTTTAATGCCATCTGGTCCCAGACCACAGCAATCTAGAATCCACAATATTCCACAATGATTTTCAGCTCTGCTGTTTGTTCACGCATCTTCCTCCAAGAGCCTGGAACGTTCCAGCCCCTGCCTTTCTTCTGAGCGGACAGGAAAGAGCCGATAAAGCCATCACGGCCAGATCCCTCTATCGGCTGGCACGCGCAACGCGTCTGATTCCGGACTGCTTGGTGCCAGGCTCGGGCTTCTGCCACGCACGAAGAAGTTGTGGGTTTATGGTGTCAATCCCAAATATTCGAGATGTGGGGGTTTCTCGACGGTGTGGACGTAAGGTCCGGGAGGATGGATTGCTGATAGTAGCGGAGTTGCATGAGAGTGTCAAAAGCCCCCGGTAGGACAGCAGATGCGTTTATCAGCTCACGAATGCTTGAATGCACAGGGCACGCCAACCTGTAGCAGCATCTGGGCTGTTTGGG